CTCGGCTGGATCATCACGATAGGCAAGGTCGACTACTGCTTCGAGGTAGCAGCTACGGTCGAGTAGGTGTAAAAAGAGGTTCGTGAAAATTAAAGTAGTGGGAATTGATTATACTCGTAATGGATTATATTGTAGATAAATCCTAGACTTCATATATCATTCGTCCTGATAAGCGGCGTTATTAGGTAAATCCGAACAGACTCTAAATTTCAAAAGACAATACAATGCGTTGACTACAGCCTATTATCGTATCAGGCACATAACAAAGCCAAAAGCACATGAAGACAATACGAATAGATATGCACGTGAATTGGATGTAAGATGCACATAAATACAGGATACGGCAGAAGTTCATTGAGTGATTTAAGCAACTACTATTTAGACTAGAAAGTGAAATATGTATGTAGGCTGTCACATGCCATCGAGCATACATATGTTCATCAAACATGAGATATAAACACACCGATACTGATCGAATGACACTGTTTGTTAAATAAGTTATATCTGAATGGCTTAACCAAATTAAATATATACAGACCAAAGTGTAGGTATGATGAGTTATATGTTAATTCAATTACTGAAATTAGGAATAAATCAATGTGAGACTGTCATTAGAAACCTAGAGGCACTGGACGGCTGTTTTGTGCTAGTGTGAGTCCCGAAGCCTAAGGTTGTTTGATCGTGAGGCAATGTGGTGTTTAGGTTGGCTTCTGGCATTAATGCTCTTCCCCAAGTCCAGCAATGAGTATGGCTTCCCATTCTGGCCCATAGAGGGTGAAAGGCCCGTGGGGGTAGAGACCAAGTGTGACAGTTCTGCTCAGAGCTCCCCTTAGAGTTGGGTTGTTTTTGAATGCAGCCCAAAGTGGGCGGTAGACTCCATCCAAGGCTAAATACTTACACGAGTCCGATAACAAACAAGTACCGTGAGGGAAAGTTGAAAAGTACCTTGAAGACGGAGTAAACAGTGCGTGAAACCGCTCAAAGGTAAACGGGTGGAGTTGAACTGCAAGCCCTGGGAATTCAGCTGACGAGTGTGATTTGTGTTCGGGCATACTGGCCGCCTTCAGTGTCCTTTTAACCGCGGGTGCCTGCCTTATCGGTGGGTGTGTATGAATCGTTTGTAAGCGACGCAAGCACTGTTGGTGTGAGGGCCTGCTTGTCAGTGCACTTTCTCAGGGTGTTCACCACGACCAGCGCTGCTGCCTGTCTGCTATGATCAAACTGGTCGAGTCCGGCATTGTTGGGCTTGGCTGGGTCGGCAGGTGACTCTTTGGCTCATTCGTGGGCTGTGAGTGTTACTAGCTGGTTGTAGTGGATCTGTGCGGTGTGTCGGAGATGGCGGCTTTGCATGCGTGCTTAGACCTGCGGACATTGTTGAGACTGGTCGGTTTGTTACTGGCTTGATTTTGTTGCGTTGGCAGTTGCGTGTGTGAACGGCTTAAGCCCATAGTCTGTGGTGTAGTGGTAGACGATCTTGCGTGTAAACGCCTCACCTTTAGACCACTGAGTCAGCAGTCTAACCATTCATGATTTCAATAAAACTTAACAATCTTTACAACCCGATAAGGACAATAATTGAAAGTCAATGACAGTTACAAATGAATCAACTAAGAAATGTTAAGAAAACACACACACACATACAGAGTAGGGTATTGAGCCATAAATATTCTTTGGTTTTACAAATAAAAATTTTCATTGTTCTGTTATTGAAAAATAACGACTATGACAGACTATATATATATATATATATATATATATATATATATATATATATATATATATATATATATATATATAGTATGTACATTGTACATTGGCTGACACACACACACACACACACTACACACGTACGCATTAAGTCATATTAATCAAACTAATAATAGTGATCAATTTTGATGACCTTAAAAATTCACTGATACATACTACTACTACTACTAATAATAATAATAATCATCGTAATAACCATGTTCAATTTTCGAATGTTTTTAATTTTTGTCATTTCGGACATGATACCAAAAAAAAATTAGTGATTTAGTTGATTATAACAATAAATAAATTTGATAAATTATACAAGGTGAATTGACCTTTAAAATAAAATGTTCATGATTACTGTGATTTTTGATGTGTAAGTGCATGGTTGACTTACTTACTTACTTACTTACTAACAGGTGTGACACGTTTATATATTGATACATAATTAAATTTCTCGTTTTATTAGGTTGGATTGATTGTACAAATTTACAATGGATTGATCATTGAATAGTGGTGATTAATATAACACGTATGTCAAGTTTTTATTAGTATTGATAGTATTCTGTTGATTAAATTGTAATGTGATCACTAGCCGAAGTGACTCAAGCTTGAGTACATTATGTTGAGAGTAGAAGGTAGTGGTAGACGAAAGTCGATCGTAACCTTCCAATCCATTAGGTTTTGTGCTAGTTAACAGTTGTGAACAAAAATGTATCTGTGACGTAACAAACCTATTTGACTGAAACTAAATGATGTAGGATTGAATCCTCCACAAAAAATCAGTGCCATTAAGGGTTAATGTACACAATACTAACGAGTATTGAATGGCACTAAAACAAGATCTAGGGTTTCTTGCTGCTGGGGACGTTCAATCCCCAGAACTGACTTGATACAGGTTCTAATTTTAGATTTTGTGTTTCCGTACATGGGCTGATCAGTTGACCTTGAGATTACATATCCCACCCGGAAAATCATTGACATTGGTTGATGTATACTTTTAGTACGCTGTTTTTTGGCTCTTTCAAGGACGTTTCTATGATGTATAAGTAAACTTGATTTGTGTGCTTAGCAACCTCATATTTCTAGGTACATATAGAATACACTTTCTGGGCCATATCAAGACTTCTTCTCCTACTTAGCAGGGCCTTGAGACGCTTGGATTAGAGTAGCCTATGATTGATTAGCGCTCCGTTTATCGAGTAAGGTGAATTTGTAATAGTTTCAAGCATATCAAATGACGAGCGCGTATCACTTGTCAATTACCAACTTAAACCTACACAATTCAAACTATAGCAAGGTCAATGGACATTCTTATTCTGTCATCTTGATCGATTCTTTAAATACGGAACTGAACAAAACGTTCAAAGAAGTTGACATATTAATCCCGTAGTATTTCGTAGAGGAGATGCCTCGGAGTTGTCAGGATATGATAAAAAAACTTATAATGCAGTGCGACACTTAACAGTTTTATACCATCTATCTGGAACCCTTCTGGAGTTACTACCGGTCCCAAGCCCGAGTAAAGGAGGAAGGTTGGGCAAGAGGTTTAGAGACCCTAACCAGAAAACCATCGTTAGATACTGACTCAGTGGTTCAGAGGTTAGGTGTTCCCGCACAAGACCGAAGATCCTGAGTTCGATTTCCGTGAGAAAGGGTTGTGGGTGCACGCTGCTAATGAGTTCCATACCGGTACGAAACAACTGTCTAGTACTTCCAGGTTTCTAATGGTGACGTAATATTCATCGACTCATGATTTAAAAAAAAATATACAAATATCTTCATTAAAACTTACAGCAATAGCAGCAATCATATATTCTCCAATAGCTATACGATATCTTAATCCAAATAAACCATTCATACTACGTAACTATTTTTTTTTAGAGAAAAACAAAGAAGAAGAATAATTATTAAGTAAATGTGAACACACATGCATTTACCCGTAATTTCTGCATCAAACGATAATGTAATTCATAATCGATGAAAGGTAGAATCTAAAGTGGGGGGAAAATAGAAAAAAAACAAACGGGTGAAATAAGTTGAAAACATAACAAAAAAAAAGAAGATAACCTCACTAACCTCACTTAATTCACTTGCTGCCACTTCACCTTTAGTATCTTTCTTTGTACGACAAACTCTAAAGGAGCAATAATAACAACAATAATATTAATAATATCGAACTTTCTGGGAAAAATATACGAAATATACGTCTGAAAATGAGTTAATTTGGTTATTAATCAAAAGTATACGGATAGACATGTTTGTCAAACAGTAAGTCCACTGCTTTTAACATTTATTTGCAATGGTTTACGATTAATCTTGTTGGAATTTGTTCTCGTGTGGTGTTACGGTAGATGACTTAGAAGCATTGCTCGTATATTGTGGGACAATCGCGAGTAAGCAATGCTGGAGTTAGGAAACGAGTTCTAGGTAACGATGGCAAATCAATAGATGAAGTGGTGAAACTTGATCTATTGAGGTGGTTGGGACATGTGTTGCGTATGCCTAACCTCCGACTGCCTCGATAAGTTAAGTTTTATGGTGTACGAGTAGATTGGAAAAAAGTTAGGGGCGGCCAGACCAAAACATGGTAGAAATCCATGAAGTCACTGACAAGTTGACTGAGCAATATCGGCAGGTGTCGACTACCTGGTTGGGGTCCGCGAGACGAAAGTCAACAATGGTTAGAGACCTTGAACGACACTGATCAAAATCGTTTGCAATGGCACAAGTGCATTCATTCGTTGTGTTCTCTCAAATCTTAATCTTCTGGAATCGTCAGCACCTCTACCTTTGTCTTTCTAACCTTATCTCATTGAATTATACTTCTTGAATAATATCTTCAAACTCTAGTCTTCTTCATTACCATTAATAACCTCAACTATCTTTATCATTATGGGATTTGATTTGACATTTGCGTCTCTGTGCTAATGTGCTATGGCAACATGAACTTATGTACATACGTAAGAAGTTCTACGTCGCAACTGACAATCTTGTCGGAAAAATATCATTTTTATTCTCTGAACACGTGATATAATCACGTCATGTTTTTTTCAAAGATCAGAGGATGAGAAAGAGGAAATTATACAAAGTAGTGTTTTGTGGTAATTCTTGAGTTTCTCTAAATTTGAGATTAGCTGTAGACTATTTATGAAGGTGTGTAAGTGCACACAGTTGGTGAAGGTAATTGGTGAATCAATAAAAGTTAGGGAGTATAGAGATAAGTAGTTTATGACTAGTATGAAACTTCAAACGAGTGCACACACGTTTGGAGTTGAGCTGAATTACATTTTCAGATAAATTACAGTGAGTTGAATACCTTACTAACGCTAAATCTAAAATGAATAATTCATATGTTTACATCTGAAGTCTACTTGTAATTAAGTGAGGTGGGTTAATATTTTCTTTCTAATCTAAGTGAACTTGGCCGAATAGAGTTTCTTACTTTTAGCCAAAAGAAAGCATACTACTATTATTAGTAGTGCAAAGTATTTGTGGAAATTTTCAAGTTTCATAGTGGATATAATTGACCATTTTTAGACATTCATTGAGAATCAGGGAGTTGTGAACATTTGTTTCAACGTAATATGAGACTAATCACAAGTGAGCATCGCTGACCCTGTCACAGATTGAACTCACGAATTCTTATCTCACAGGCTAACCCTTAATTATTCCAATCAAGATCTAACGGTTTACATTTTAACTCCAATCATTTCGTGATCCTATCCGATCCGATCTCTGGGGTATATCTCTCACATCCGACATGGCTAAAGTCTAATCATTACTAGGACTACAGGACTTAGTTACCCAAAACTACTTACTAATGACTATGTGATAATCACTGTAAAACGAGAAGGTTTTGAGTAGATAATTAAATTGGAAGTTAATTTTATGCACAAATTGACTCAAGTTTGACATTTCGCAATGAATTTACCCAATTAATAAAACAAATAGATTTATAACTGTAGTGCATATCGTTTATACGCATCTGTAGAATGTACATAATTAACCTAGATTCAGTTATTTTTGATTAGCCTATTATCCATGAATAGCTAGGAACCTGATAATTTGACTGCTTAGCACAAATTCATACCACGATTGGCACCTGAACTAGTGATAGGGAGTGAAGTAGTTGAGCGAGGTGATAGGTTCGCTTATCTAAGAAGTCTCATCAGTGCTGATAGCCTGGTGACTAACGAAATCTCAGCTCGGGTTGGGAAGGCTCGATTGGCTTTTGTCAACTTCAGATATCCGTTTGCTAATAATATGGATGCCAAACATGGCCGGTAAGAGTAGAAGATATAAGCACGTTATTGGTATTCGATTGTTGATGTCTTCGAAGCACTGTTCGTGTATTCTGGGACAACCGATTAAGCAATGCTGTAGTTAGGAATCGAGTACTAGGTAGGAATGGAAAGTCAATAGGTGAAGTATTGAAACATCATCAGTTGAGGTGGTTGGGATATGTGTTACGTATGCCAAACCACTGACTGCCTGGACGAGTGATGATTTGAGGTGTCGGAGCAGGTTGAAAGAAATGTAAGGGATGCCAGACCAAAAGATGGCACAAATTCATGAAGTCACTGACAACCGGACTATCTGGTTGGTGTCAGCGAGACGAAAATCACGGATGGTTAGAGATCACGAATGGCATGGCCCAAAACCGTTTGCAAAGGTACAGGTGCATTCATTGATTGTGTTCTCTCAAATCCCAACCTTCTGAATTCCTCATCATCTTTATCATTTTCTTTTTAAGTTTGATTCACTAGATTCTATTTCTTGAATAATTTTCCCGAACTCTACATTCTCCGATCACTACTAATATTTTTGCTACCTATAATAATTTGAGATTTGAACTGTCAATGGCATCCCTGTGCTAATGTGGTATGGTAACTTGAACTGACGTTCATACGTACGAAGTTCTACTGTGGTGTGTGCTACTTATACGAACGATATAAGTAGTATACGAAGGGACGTGAAAGAAGAAGTCTCTCGGTCAGAAGAGGAAAACGGAAAGCAAATGGAGAAAAAGCAAGAAGTAAATGGAGTACCAACAGGAAGGAAAGGAAGCAACAACAGGAATGGAAGAAGGATGGAGCCTTGGAAGTCACGACTCAAAGATGGTGTGCGAATAGAGTGTTCAATGTAATGTTTTCGTTTTTAATTGACTAAGAGTGTAAATTTGCACAATACAATCTTCCGCGCCTGCCTCAGTCTTCTCACTACGTTGTAACTGACTGACTGACAGACTGGATTGGACACATTCTGTATGGAAATAATATTTGCTTCATATAGAATAAGATTCTATCGGCTTTGATACGTTATATTTTGCCTTGATTATCTTTAAGAGGCTTGACTCAGTGAGCTTATATCAATCAAACAGGATGATAGAATGTTAGTTCATACCTCAAGTATTTGATACAAATACACTGGAAACAGAGATAGTGTAGATTTGTGACTTACACATAGGATGATTATGGTGAAATTGTTGACACTCAGTTGAGTGATTTATTAAGTGTGATAGTTTTTTTAACTGCCTTTAGAAGTTATCATAGAAATGATTAATAGTCAGTCAGTTACAACGTAAAATTTCGTGAATTGTGACCGATTTGGTCTTGTGTGCTGTTACGAGTTTGAGAGCGAATGTCACTTCCCGGCTGCCTACATCATAGAGGGGTGTTTCCTGAGGAACTTGAAAAGGAAACCCAGTTAGCGTTGGTTTTAGAGACCTGGGAGCGTGACCGCAGAGCCCAAGGGACAATTGCTTGAGACCGGTCAAACACGGCCTTTTTATGAGAAGTTTATAAAGTTAACTCCTCTATTTTTAACAGGCCTTACCACCGAAGACGGAAATCTATGAGGTAAGGTGAGGTGTGACATTTTTAGGGTCAATCTTTTCTAACCCTTTCCTTTCTTGTGAGAAGGCAGAATCGCTGCAGATGCTGGGTGTCCGAGGGAAACACCTTACTGTTGTCACACCTCTCTACAGTCAGCATTCGCCAGTCGACCTGCCTAGCATGGTAGAACCTTCAAGAACATATGTTCCAGCCAGAATAGTTTTGTTGGGTCATCACGATAGGCAAGCCCGACGACCACATCAAGTTAGCAGCTACGGTCAGGGGAAACAACTAACAACTTATTAGTGTATGTTTGATTTAATGATAACAGAAATGAAATAAAACATAAATATCTCCTTTTTATATATAAAGGATTATTCAACTCATTATCAATGATTAGTTTAAATGAACTAATGTCGTATAAAAAAACACTAACCGTGCTTGTATTAGAGCTGGATTACCAATAATTAATAGCTCTGCAGGGAAGTCAGATGAAGAAAATAATAAATCAGGAACACTTGCCATTTTACATGAAGCACATCGTGATGATGTAACAGGTGAAGTAAATTGATTCGGATTTGTATCAGATATTGTTGGAAGATGACATATACGACAATTAGGTCTGGTTTTTTTTAAAAACAACAAAAGAAAAAAATAGAAGAAGAAGAATGTTAGCGGGAAAGAAAGTGTCCAATTGGGAAAATGGTTAGTGATTAGTTTTCTAAGGGATATTGGGTCGCTAACCCTATGCATAACCTTCTTTCTTTATCCTGTGGATTGTGACCGACAGTAGTCTCAGAGGGGCTCCGGGGCGAAGTTTGATCATAAATGATCTCGAGTCAATTTAATAAAATGTTTGTCTGTGTAAAGCGATAGTTTTGAAGGTATCATAGTAGTAGTGATGATCAGTAAGTTTAAATTGATATTTATCAATTTTATCATAGACATGCTCCAAGAGATAAACTTATTCTCGTCTGAATTTGCAGGAGTAGACCTATTACCAGGAGGCTCGCTTATTGACTTAGAATATGCCGATGACATAGTTCTATTCGGTGAAGACGCTGATAAAATGCAGAGTCTTCTGACCACCCTAAGCAACAATGCGAGCATGTTCGGGATGCGGTTCTCTGAAAGTTCACTGACAAGTGGACTGAGTCATGTTGGTAGATATGTACGTTACCTGGTTGTCGTCCGCGAGACGATAGTCACTGATGGTTAGAGACCTTGAATGACATGGCTCAGGTGCATCCAGTCTTTGTGTTCTTTTTAACTCTAACCTTCTGAATTCCTCATAATCTCTACCTTTTTCCTTCTAAATTTATCTCACTGAATCATACTTTTCCAATCACATCTTTGCTCCCTAATCTTCTCTAATAATTCTACTTTCGCTATCACTCGGATTTAAACTGACAGCTACGTCTCTGCGCTGACGTGGTATGGCAACCTGAACTGAAGTTTTGAGTTGTATGTGTCTCTCTGTCTGACTATTGCAATCTTCACAGAGATTTATAAAAAGAGGTTGGGTATCATTATTTTAGCCAGATTATACAGGTCAGAATTGTGAATAAGAAAACTTGAGAAACGAAAAAAAGCTTCGGAGTAGACAATCTTAAACATGAAGATGTAACTAAGTAATAAGCACCAATTTAGTTAGAACAAGCATTATATCATTAACATTAAACTCCTAGTAAACCGAATCTTATTAAGGATATTATTTTGAGTAAGATCTCTAGAATAGTTTAGCATTCTATTAATTCTGAGGAATAGGTGTTAACATATCCTTACAATGTAATGAGATATAGTGTCATGAGGTCTGTTTGATCACTGTTGGAAAATGGAGACATCATAAATCAAATACAAACCAAACTACTGTCTACCTCAACAAGTGATGTTGTCTAGTCTAAGAGTAGGCTGGAAGAAAGCTTTTGGAATGAATTATGACAATCGGGTTGATCCCATGCAGGGAGATTGAGATTGTTTAGTTGAGGTCTATGTGATTATTGTAACCAATAGTTAGAGATTTTGAGTAACACGGCTCAGAATCAATTATAGTGACACAGATGCATTTACTTCTTATCGTACCTATCCCTCCAGATCCTTATTCCCAAAATTTCCCTTTTGCCCTCAGTCTTCTAATACTAAAACTAACCACTACAGATAACATTAGTGAGTAGAGTATCCTGAGACTTGAATTAAAAGTTTCACCAAGCTATGCGCTAATGGCGTGTCGTTGCAACATGAATCAAAGCATTCATATGCAAGGTTTTATGTTGTAAGTGACAAAAGGTAGTAAAAACTTATGTTTAATATTCCACTGTAGAATTTTGAAAATTGAAATTATTGATTATTTATTGGTATTGAGTTTCCAAAACGTTAAACAGTAAACAAAATGTTGTACTTTTATTGTAGGTCAGATATTTTCTCGTTAGGCGACTGAAACAATATGCTGATTTACAGTCAGTTTTAAGCAGTGATATGTTAAGTGGATAAAATAGGCACAACAAATCAGTTGTCCTTATTTAGCCCGAAAATGACCTGATACAGCTGAGAGTGGGGACAGCTCATTAGCCCTCTCGAAATGCTCTCATATGGCCATACGTATAAAATCAAGAAAAACCTACTCACTACCTTCTTGTGGGGAAGGTATTATTTATGAATTGGAGAGGAAGAAAAGTGAGTGTTCGGCGCTTTGACCGGGTTGGAGGATTTTAAGGGTCGATCTAAGGGAGATAGGAAATCCTGATTCTAAACCAATGGTCACATAAACACCGGGATCTTGATAGAATGATTAGCGAATGGACATATTGTTGGGAATCGGCTTCCATTGGATTGCATCCTATGAACTTGCTCCACTGCCTCATGGATTAGATTTTCGGGTCGAATGCTCGGGAAGTGCCAACCCTAACGAAACGACTTGCTTCAAGAACTAAAATCTAAGTGTACACAACGAATAAATGCATCTATGTTATTACGATCGATTCTAAGTCATGTTATCTAACGTCTCCAACTCACTTTCAACTCGAATTGTAAGGATTCCATATAGATAATCTACGTATATACATCAACATGGCTAAGCATAAGTGTCATTAGTTTTATGGATTGATCCTAATTTTGTATTAAGTTGTTGAACAATAAAACTAAGTAATTTTACAAAAAAATTACACTAAAAGTAGAAATCAAAAACAAAGACAAAGATTGTGCTGAAGTTTCGTTCTCTGAGCTGGATGTTTAGGTTGTCTAAGCGCTCATTGTTCATCTGAACAACATCATCTTTAGCATAAACATCAGATAGAAGAATTGAAGTATTCGAATCTCTCCACGTAGTATGTATGACTCGTAGCTTGTTCTGATGACCTCGATCCTGATTGGTTCTTATTAACCTTAAACTTGTCGTTGTATGCACTTTTGTATTGATGGTATCTCGTTTTGATCTATCTGGCGTTTGTGTTGATAATACTGTTCAGCGGAAGAACAATAAAAAGCGCCACAACCAAAACATCCCAGTCAGAGAACGAAACTCCACCACCAATCAATCAATCATCCACTAGAGCTAAAAAAGTTTTCTCTACCATCTCTCAAAGAGAATGATATTTCATCAAAAATACAACAGCTTAATAGATTGGTATGAACAATAGATTATAGATAAACTTTTTAAAATCACATCATATTTACTTGACGGCATTGTTGACATGATGAAATATTTGTTTATGTGGCAACAAGCATTGATCAGCTGTATATTCTTTACGCAATTGTTTGTTATATGAAGATGTTGGTGAAGGAACAGGAGTTGTTTCTGATGATGATGATGATGACGATGATGATGACATACGAAAAGAATGATTCGTTGTAGTCAATTCAGGAGAACAATGAGTAGAAGGTATTTTTGTAGGACATTGATCATTGGTTGTGAAATGACTGGATGCTGCTGAATTATGATGAAAAAAAAAGGAAAAATTTAAAATTACCGCAAAATATGTGTTTTATTGAAGTCATTCAGTCAGTTATAACGTAGAACTTCGAACGTACGTACATCAGTTCAAGTTGCCATACTGCATTAGCGCAAAAAGGCAATTGTCGATTCAATCCGATAGTGGTAGAGATAGTAGAAGTATAGGCAGTAATCGGAGAGATTAGGGTTCGAGCAAATTATTCAAGAAGTAGAATCTAGTGAAATAAATTTAAAAATAAAAAGATACAGGTGATGAGGAACTCCGAAGGTTAGAATTTCAGGGAACACAAAGAGTGGATTCACCTGCGCCATTGTAAAACGACTCTGAGCCATGTCGTTCAAGGTCTCTAAACATCAGTGACTTTCGTCTCACGGACCCCAACCAGGCAACCTACATCTGTAGTGTGTCGATTTACTGCGTGTTCTTAATGTTCGTGATTAGCTCGTCCAGACAATCGTTACTATATAGCGTCTGATAAGATAAAGCTGATGAGGAATTTAGAAGGTTGGGATTTGAGAGAACACAAAGAATGAATGCACATGCGCCATTGCAAACAATTTTGAGCCATGTCATTCAGGGTCTCTAACCATCGGTTACTATCGTCTCATGGACCCCAAATTGTCTTAGTCAAACGAATTCTATAGACTATATTTAACATATAGTTAGTTAGTCAGTCAGTAACAACGTAGAACTTCGTATGTACGTACATCAGTTCCAGTTGCCATACCACATGAGCAAAGAAGGATCGAATCATTAATCCAAATCCCATTTTAGTGCAGGTTGTAGCAGTTTTAGCGGTAATTGAAAAGATTAGGGTTCGAAGATATGATGTCCAACGAAATAAACTTAAAAACAGAAAGGAAACAGTCAAAAGGAATTGAGAGGAAGCAAAGAATGCATGCATCTGCGTTATTGTATACGATTTTAAGCCATGTCCACGCGATTGAATAAATAAAAATGAAGTACAAAACCCTATATACATATCTTTTCTAAATTAAAATAAGACAACTGATATAAAGAAGAATTTTAATTGGTTGTCTGTTTAGACAATAAAGAATTATTGTTGATATTTACAAGCTTGTGGTCACAAATTTTCATTGAAGTTGTGTTTCCGGTTAAGGAAAAGGCATGATCACTTGTTTTCTTCATTCAAAACGAGGTCAAGCCTCTTTATGTTTATTCGAGATGATAAGACACTCTAGTTTAATATGGTATCTCAACTGAGCTCAATCCATGATGAAAACAAACCATGAATTGCTGAAAATTGTTTAGTGTTTGCAAATGAAAACTATTTATTTGGGATTTCGTAACGAAATTTTTAAAATGGTTGATAAAATTTTAATTAAACTATTCTATACTACTCATTAGTATATCATATAAACACGGGAAATTATCGTTACCATTTATTTTAGCAAAAACCGTTTAGTCACATGTCGGAAGCGAAGCTCTACAGTTCTTGAATAGCATAATAGTAATAATAAGAATAATAATGCTAGTTGATATTTTATAACCCTCAAATTAAACCTAGATTTCCAATTAAATTGTCACAAAAATGTGTAGATATTTTCTTAATAAAGTCAGTCAGTCAGATGCAACGTAGAACTTCGTACGTAAGTACATCAGTTCATGTCGCCATACCACATTAGCACAGAGATGTAATTGTCAATTCAAATCCAATAATAGTAGAAGAGGTAGTAAAGGTATTAGAAGTAATCGAAGAGGTTAGGATTAGAAGATATTATTCAAGAAGTATGATTCAATGAGAAAAGTTTAGAAAGTCAAAACTAGAGTTATTGAAGAATCCAGAAGATTAGGATTTGAGAGAACACAAAGAATAAATGCATCGGCGCCATTGCGAACAATTTTGAGCCATGTCATTCAAGGTCTCTAACCATCGATTATTATCATCTCGCGGACCCCAACCAGGTAGTCGACAATTACCGACATGGCTCAATCCACTCGTCAATGACTTCATGGATTTCTGCCGTGTTTTGGTTTGGCCGCCCCTAACTTTCTTCCAACCCACTCCTACACTACAAAACATAGCTCTTCGAGGCAGTCGGTGGTTAGGCATACGCAACACATGTCCCAACCACCTCAACTAATGAAGTTTCACCACTTCATCGATTGATCTACCTGGTAATAGGTCTACTCCTGAAAATTCAGACGAGGAGCATGTCTATGATAAAATTAAACAAGAGTGGAGAGAGTGGGCATCCCTGACGGACACCACTTGAAGTAAAGAATTCCGGTGACAGTTCGTCATAAGCTCTCACTCGACCACTGGTGTACGAGTAGAGAGCTTGTATGAGGTTAATGTACTTCTTTGGTACACCTTTCAATGACAAACACTGCCACAGAACCTCACGATCCACTGAGTCGAACGCCACCTTAAGGTCCAGGAAATTTTCTTGATAAAACATCTAAAGGAGTATACAACAAAGAACCATCATACCTGAGGTATCATTTGAAGAAGTCAATACTCACAGTGGTTTTGGAAGTAGTATACACAACAATTATTCTTAGATTGTATCAAATTTTTACAAGAGACACAATAGAGTATTCGACAAAATAAAAATCAATACAATTTCATTCAGTTGATACAGTTTCTATCTCCTCTTTATAAGAAGATAAGTTGAAAGTATTCATGGTTATTCATCAAGGTTTCACTGAGGTTTTTTTATTGGTTGCATCTAGTACATTCAATCACTTGTAATAACTTGATGTAGTGAGAAGAGAATATCAATGTTTGAAATAGTAGGAAACGGATAGATAACTTGAAATATTGAAGAAAAAATTAGTTAACCTAAGTCAACCGATATCCGTTGGCCAGACACTATCAGCAACAACCTGCTGTGGGAGAAAACAAACCAGATTCCAGTGGAGGAGGGAATCAGGAAGAAGCGGTGGAAGTGGATAGGATACAGAATGCGGAAAGCATCCAATTGCGTCACAAGACAAGCCCTAACTTGGAACCCTCAAGGTCACAGGAGAAGGTCCAGGAACACATTATGCCGAGAAATAGAGAAAGACACGAGAAGAATGAACAAAAGTTGGAGAGAACTGGAAAGAGAAGCCTAGGACAGAGTAGGATGGAGAATAGTGGTAGGCGGGTTATTCTCCATTGGAGGTAACAGGCGTGAATAAGTCAACCCATATCGTAGATACTGATAATACTACTCATAAGTAGTATAGATCATTTTGTTCAATTTCATCATATTGAAATAATCATTCGTTTTTGTTCATTAAATCCATAACAATTTTAAAAAGTAAATAATAAAGATTTGGATTGATTAAGTGAAAGAAGTGGATTTGAATTTCAAATAATTAGTTTTTAAGCTTTAAAAATTTTAGCTAATCGAGAACGAAGATATTTACAGAGTAATTCATAGATTCACTTCAAATTCTAACAACCAAGAAACAAACATATTTATGATTGGAAATCAAAAAAACATACATACTATATACTAGAAACATCTTGAATGTAAATGTAGCTGCTACCTTGACGTGTTGAGTTATATTGTTTGGAACATATGTTCCTTTAAGTGGATTGGAGAATGGTAAGACTAGAAGCAACTTAAGGTTTGAGGGCGAGGTCGTACAGCTGACCATAGAGGCGTGTGACAGCAGTGAGGTAATTCAATTGAATAGTCAGCATCTGCAGAGATGTTGCCTTCTCACAAGGAAGGAAGAGGTTAGTAAAGGTCGACCCTAATAATGTCACTCAACAACCTTGCCCTACGGATTTTTGTCTCGGGCGGTAAGGTAACGCTTTCAAGACATCCCATAACAAGGCCATATATGACAGTTGTCCTTTGGGCTCTGTGATCACTCTTCCAGGTCGCCAAGACCAACACTAATCCAATTTTGAAGTCAGGTTCCTCAAGAAATACCCTTCCACGGTGTGAGCAGCCGGGAAGTGATATCCGCCCTCATGCACGTAACAGCACATGAGACTGAATAAATTACAAACAAGTCCTTTCTACACCTCCTAATATCTCTCTTATCTCCACGATAAACTCTTCTTCATTTGCTACCTCGCGCCGCCGATGCAAACGAAAAATAATTCTTGGTCTCTTGAAACTAAGGGTACAAACTACATGTTGGAGCTTTTCATGTTCGAATCTTATTCTAAAATAGGGCAACAGAGTTCCTTAGCTAGCACCCTAGAACTTGATGTCTATCCCTTTAGGCCACTATTCAGTGATGATATTCCCAGATATTCTATGATTCAATAACCTGAAATATTAAATCGATAACATTCAAAAAAAAAAACAAGACGAAGGAGATCAAATTCACTGGTCTTCGATTGTGTGAATAATCAGTGTGTTTATTCTAATAGGCAAAACAATCAATTTGTTTGTGTCTATGATCAATTGTTTATAATAAATATTTTGTTAAGGTGACTATTGTACTATCATCGTCATCACCTGACTGAATTGTATATTTATATGAAGCCTATAAGTATGTACATAACTCTATCTCATGATGTAAAAATAAATGTTGGTGATTGAATGATAAAACCTAAAGTAGTTTACTCCTTGCTTTGATTAAAAATCAGTATTGAATATTATGTCTCGATCATAATTTGTAGATAATGTGTTGTGTTGTAATGGAAACAAATGTGAATAATAAGTTTCATGGAATAATCAACTTCTTGATGGTTATCGTCAATGTCTTATCATAAAACAGAATAAATTTACTAAGAAACTAAGATTGTGACAATTTCTAATCATTCGAAGTTAGATAATTTTTTTAAGGTTACTTTTAGATAATCTATCTCGAGCATACCATTACTTACTGATTCAGTTTGTGATATGTTTGATGACAGTGGGTTAGTCAGTTAGTTAGTTACAACGGAGAACTTTGTACATACGTACATCAGTTCAGATTAACATACCGCATTAGCACAGAGATGCTATTGTCAGTTCAAATCTCATAGTGGGAGTATTAGCGATTATGGAGAATATTCAGGCTCAAAGATATTATTCAAGAATTATAATTCAGTGAGATAACTTTGGAAAGAGAAAGGTGATGAGGAATCCAGGGGATTAGAATTTCAGAAAACATAAAGAGTGGATGCACCTGTGTCATTGCAAACGATTCTGAGCCATGTCGTTCAAGGTCTCTAACCATTGGTGACTTTCGTCTCGCGGACCTCAACCAGATAGCCTACATTTACCAACATGAGTCAGTTCACTTGTCAGTAACTTCATGGATTTCTGCCATGTTTTGGTTTGGCCGCCCCTTAATTTCTTCCAACCTACTCCTACACCACAATACACAGCTCGTCGAGGCAGTCGGTGGTTAGGCATACGTAACACATGTCCCAACCACCTCAACTGATGAAGTTTCACCACTTCATCTATTGATCTGCCATCCTTACCTAGTACTCGTTTCCTAACAACTGCATTGGTAAGTCGGTAGTCCCACGATACACGAGCATTGCTTCGAAGACACCTACCAATATACAGCGAACTAACTGATTTGCAGTACACTCGTCCTTTAGTCAACAAACGAATATCTCTCCTACACCAATAATGACACAATTTGGCAAAAGCCAATCGAGACTTCTGTATCCGGATTGAGATTTCATCAGTCACCAGGGCCATCAGCACTGATGAGACTCAGGAGATAAGAGAGGCGGTCAACGTGATCAACTGCTTTACTCCCTATCACTAGTTTAGGTGTCCTAGATTACTTTTTAAAGTATGAATTGAAATAGTATTAAAGTTAATTGTCGTTTCTCATTATACTATGCGTTTGAAAAAAAATAGATGTTTAAAGTTCACGCTTAAACATAAATATAATCAGATTTGTTTACAGGGTTAATATTTCTTATGACAGAAGGGGACAAGAAGAAGGCTGAGAGGGCCAAACTAGAAGATGGATCAAGTCCATGAACTCACTGACAACTGGACGGAGCCATCTTAGTAGGTGTAGACTACCAGGGTTAGGGTCCGCGAGACAATCGCAAGCGATGGTTACAGACTTTGAATGATATAACTCAAAATTGTTGACAATGGCACAGGTGCAACCATTCTTCGTCTTCTCACATGATCTTTTCTTATATCTTTTTGGATTGGCTTAACTGTGATATACTTCTTGAATAACATCTTCGAACCCTAATCTTGTTGATTACCGCTAATACTTCTATAACCTTTACTATTATGGGATTATAATTAACGATTCCATCTATCTGTGCTAGTGTGATATGACAACTTGAACTGATGTACGTACGAAAGAAGTTCTATGTTGTTGTTGACTGATTGGTTAACCTATTCTCCCATATTTCTTTGTTAATTTAAAATGAGCATAAAGTTTATTGAGAATTTTATCTTATTTGTATGATTTATGCTGTAACACAAAAACAACATATCTATAATACTGAGAGTGAAATTTCATTGATCCTAAAGGGCTACGGTATGATCGCATCATTTATTTGTTTACTCTAATCAATGTTATCGTGTCGCCTTAAATCAAGTTTGATTAAGTTGAAAAAAACATTAGAAGTTATAAACAGCTATGTTGTTGTGATATAGAAGATTTGGAGTAATCAAAGCTTCCATAAACAAAATTTGATAGAGGGACATAGTGAGACTATAATTTATGGACGACGTTTAAGCGATTCTAAAGTGGCCTTGAGAAATTTCAATCACTTATTAGAATCAAAATAGAATTATGAGTATAGTGATTAGCTTTGTGAGGAAATTTTCGGTGTTCTAGTGAGAAGATATAACCAGTGGAGTTCAACCCTGTCGAGTTTAGGCACCAATTACCGAAGACAATGGGTGAGGTTACAAAAAACCTTAGATTGATTAAAGTTACACATTACCATCGTCGGAAGCTGGCTCAGTCGTCTACAGATTAGACGCTCGCGCTTAAGGCGACATGGATGTGCGACGGCTGAAGAGTCGCATACTAGGACGAAACAACTATCCAGTGTTTCTAGGTTTCTAATGACGATTTAACATTGATCGATTGACGTTTTCAGCGACAAACAACTATCTCCATAACTCTATAATTGTTATGTTCGTCACTACGTACGCTTGAAACTATTACGAGTTCACCTAAGTCGATAAACAAGAACGAGGCAATGAACCAACGTCCAGGTAGGCTACTTTGAATCTCAAGCTGTCTTGGTAAGCGTGGAAAGTATATTCTACAACATCCAGCAATCACAATACAATCAAGCACACAACTCTCGTTTATTTATACATCATCCAAACGTCGTTGGGATAGTCAGAAAAATAGCACACTAAAATACCCACAGCCATGAATTTTTCTAGTGGGAAATGAAATCTCAAGGTCAACTGATCAGCCCATGCTCGTAAGCGTGAAATCCAGAATAAGGCGTTTATCAAGCGAGTTCTTGGGATCTAACATCCTCAACAATAATAAATATACAAACAACTGATATCAGCATTATTGTCACGCTAAACTTTAAGTTTTAACAATCTTTGATTTTATAATTCTAAAATTCACAAGAACAAGAAACATTACTTGATACAGATGCACGAATTTTTTCACTAGCTTTTTCTAAATTCGCAGAAATACAACTAAGTGAATTGGTAGTTGTTATTTTCTGCAATGAATAATTATTCATCCAATTAGGATTAAGTTGTACTGCTGTGCCATAACTTGAAAGAATACAAACATCTTCATAGATTGTACATTCTTCACGATAGGCCAATACAGCATCACATCGAATACTATGCATATGTGCAACAATTTCTGTACGTAATTCCAACCACCATGCATCACGAAATTGTATTCCAGCTGATAATTGTGAAATATAAATACAAAAAGAACATTTTCTTCTGTTACATACGGAATAATAAGGAATAATGACTGCTGAAGGAGAGCGAAATTATAGTATGTATATTGTCTAATTAAACGAAACAGTTTGGTCTATTTGTAAGTGCGCTGGTATCTTACTCAGGGTAGATAGATTATAAATATATTTTTACTGGTTTGTTTTTGAAAAGAGAATTACCAAAAGACAAAATATTGAAGTAGTGTTACTCTATAAGGCCCATTATTGATTAAATTTGTTTTTTTGGTAAAGGATATAAACAATAGTCAGTGTGTAGTGCGAGCTACTTATAAGTAGTATATGACGTGAGTGTAAACGTAATGTCTGGCAGCAGAAGATTGGGGAAGATCAAGAAAGGAAGAGTTAGAAGAACACAATGGAATTTGTATGAAACGCATGAATAGTGACAATGAATTGATGTTTTGCAACAGGAACAGTCCAGTTCGATATGATGATGGACTGATATTTTGTAAATGAACGATTTACGATATGGTTTTCCGTTAAATACAATTCGGTTGCCCCACCTGTGTTATCGTTCACTACAAGTGTACAGGGTTGTGGAGATTGTTGAGTTTCATTAAAATCATGAATCGATCAATGTTAGACCAGTATTGGAAACCTGGAAGCACTAGATGAAAATCTCATCTTAGATTTGGAATCCTTAGCAGTGGATATTCACAACCTCATCACAGGAAATCGAACCGAAGACCATTGATCGTGTGAGCGAACGCTTCGCCGGTTGACTAAAAAGACGGCATTCAATGGTATCAATGTTTAAGTTCAATTGATAAACCATATTGAGCGACTATCATCCAGTGTCTTTGGTTGGGGTAACTGTATTACACTGGACACGATTGAACTCCACTGATCAAAGCTTCTAACTAGAACTCCAAAAATTCTCTCACGAAGTTAGTCACTAGTTATAGATTATACTACTTGAATAATATCGTCGAACACTAAAATTTTCGATTACTGATAATACTTCTACAACCTCTATTACTATGGGATTTGAATTGACGACTCCATCATCCTATGCTAATGTGGTACGGCAGCTTGAGCTGATGTACGTCCGCACGTAAGAATTTCTACGTTGTAACTGACTGACTGAGTGAGTCACTAGTTATTACATGATAGTGGTCAATATAGGGTTGTGAAAGATGCTGAATTTCAGCATCTTTCACAACCCTATATTGACCACTATCATGTAATAACTAGTGACGCACTCAGTCACAGTCAGTCACAACGTAGAATTTCGTACGTGAGGACGTACATCAGTTCAATTTGCCATACCACATCAGCCCAGAGTGATGGAATTGTCAATTCAAATCCCATAGTAATAGAGGTTGTAGAAGTATTATCAGTAATCGGAGAGATTAGGGTTCGATGATATTATTCAAGAAGTATATAATCTATAATTAGTGACTAACTTCGTGAGAGAATTTTCGTAGTTCTGGTTAGAGGCTTTGATCAGTGGAGTTCAACCGTGTCCAGTGTAATACAGTTACCCCCACCAAAGACAATAGATGATAGTCGCTCAATATCGTTTATCTATCGAACTTAGACACTGACACCATTGAATGCCGGCTTGTTAGTCAACAGGCGAAGTGTTCGTTCACAAGATCAAAAGTCTTCGGTTCGATTTCCTGTGGTTTGTGTGGTTGTGAATATCCACTGCTAAGTATTCCAAATCTAAGATGAGATTTTCACCTAGTGCTTCCAGGTTTCCAATACTGGCCTAACATTGATCAATTCATGATTTTAATGAAACTCAACAATCTCCACAACCCTGTACACTTGTAGTGAACGATAACGCAGGTTGGGGCAACCGAATTATATTTAACGAAAATTACACAGTTACTCAGTAAAATCGGAAAACCATATCGTAAATCGTTCATTTGCAAAATATCAGTTCATCATATCGAACTGGACTGTTCCTGTTGCAAAACATCAATCCATTGTCACTATTCATGCGTTTCATACAAATTCCATTGCGTTCTTCTAACTCTTCCTTTCTTGATCTTCCCCCAGTCTTCTGCTGCCAGACATTACGTTGACACTCACGTCATATACTACTACTTATAAGTAGCTCGCACTACACACTGACTATTGTTTATATCCTTTACCAAAACAAATCAATAATGGGCCTTATAGAGTAACACTACTTCAATATTTTATGTCTTTTGGTAATTCTCTTTTCAAAAACAAACCAGTGAAAATATATTTATGATCTATCCACCCTGAGTAAGATACCAGCGCACTTACAAATAAACCAAACTGTTCCGTTTAATTAAAACCCTGCATTCTTCAATTTCGCTCTCCTTCAGCAGTATTCCTTATTATTACGTATGTAATAGAAAAAGATGTTGTTGTTTTTACTAGCTGGAATACAATTTCGTGATGCATGGTGGTTGGAATTACGTACAGAAATTGTTGCACATATGCATAGTATTCGATGTGATGCTGTATTGGCCTATCGTGAAGAATGTACAATCTATGAAGATGTTTGTATTCTTTCAAGTTATGGCACAGCAGTACAACTTAATCCTAATTGGATGAATAATTATTCATTGCAGAAAATGACAACTACCAATTCACTTAGTTGTATTTCTACAAATTTAGAAAACGCCAGTGAAAAAATTCGTGCATCTGTATCAAGTAATGTTTCTTGTTCTTGTGAATTTTAGAATTATAAAATCAAAGATTGTTAAAACTTAAAGTTTAGCGTGACAATAATGCTGATATCAGTTGTTTGTATATTTATTATTGTTGAGGATGTTAGATCCCAAGAACTCGCTTGATAAACGCCTTATTCTGGATTTCACGCTTACGAGCATGGGCTGATCAGTTGACCTTGAGATTTCATTTCCCACTAGAAAAATTCATGGCTGTGGGTATTTTAGTGTGCTATTTTTCTGACTATCCCAACGACGTTTGGATGATGTATAAATAAACGAGAGTTGTGTGCTTGATTGTATTGTGATTGCTGGATGTTGTAGAATATACTTTCCACGCTTACCAAGACAGCTTGAGATTCAAAGTAGCCTACCTGGACGTTGGTTCATTGCCTCGTTCTTGTTTATCGACTTAGGTGAACTCGTAATAGTTTCAAGCGTACGTAGTGACGAACATAACAATTATAGAGTTATAGAGATAGTTGTTTTTCATTGAAATCGTGAATTTATAAATGTTAAATCGTCATTAGAAACCTAGAAACACTGGATGGCTGTTTCGTCCTAGTATGCGACTCTTCAGACGTCGCGCATCCATGTCGCCTTAAGCGCGAGCGCCTAATCTCTAGACGACTGAGCCAGCTCCGACGATGGTAATGTGTAACTTTGATCAATCTAAGGTTTTTTGTAACCTCACCCATTGTCTTCGGTAGTTGGTGCCTACACTCGACAGGGTTGAAATCCACTGGTTATATCTTCTCACTAAAACGCCGAAGATTTCCTCAAGAAGCTAATCACTATACTCATAATTATATTTTGATTCTAATAAGTGATTGAAATTTCTCAAGGCCACTTTAGAATCGCTTAAACGTCGTCCATAAATTATAGTCTCACTATGTCCCTCTATCAAATTTTGTTTATGGAAGCTTTGATTACTCCAAATCTTCTATATCACAACAACATAGCTGTTTATAACTTCTAATGTTTTTTTCAACTTAATCAAACTTGAAATAAGGCGACACGATAACATTGATTAGAGTAAACAAATAAATGTGGTGATCATACGTAGACCTTTAGGATCAATGAAATTTCATTCTAAATATCATAGATAAGTTGTTTTTGCGCTATAACGTAAATCCTACAAATAAGATAAAATTCTCAATAAAATTTATCCTTGTGTTAAATTTACAAAGAAATATGAGAGAATCGGTCAACCAGTAGTCAGTCAACAACAACACAGAACTTCGTACGTACGTACGTAATCAATTCGAGTTGTCATATCACACTAGCACAGAGAGATGGAATCGTTAATTCAAATCCGATAATAGTAAAGGTTATAGAAGTATTAGCGGTAATCAACAAGATTAGGGTTCGAAGATGTTATTCAAGAAGTATATCGCAGTTAAGCCAATCCAAAAAGGAATAAGGAAAGGTCATGAGAAAAGACGAAGAATGGATGCACTTGTGTGATTGTAATCACTTTTGAGCTATATCATTCAAAGTCTGTAACCATCGGTTCCGATTGTCTCGCGGACCCTAACCTGGTAGTCTACACCTACTAAGATGTCATTGAGTTCATGGATTTGTGTCATCTTCTAGTTTGGCCTCTCTCAGCCTTCTTCTAGCCCACTTCTATCATAAGAAATATTAACCCTGTAAACAAATCTGATTATATTTATGTTTAAGCGTGAACTTTAAACATCTTTCTTTTTCAAACGCATAGTATAATGAGAAACGTCAATTCACTTTAATACTGTTTCAATTCAAACTTTAAAAAGTAATCCAGGACACCTAAACTAGTGATAGGGAGTAAAGCAGTTGATCACGTTGACCGCCTCTCTTATCTCCTGAGTCTCATCAGTGCTGATGGCCCTGGTGACTGATGAAATCTCAATCCGGATACAGAAGTCTCGATTGGCTTTTGCCAAATTGTGTCATTATTGGTGTAGGAGAGATATTCGTTTGTTGACTAAAGGACGAGTGTACTGCAAATCAGTTAGTTCGCTGTATATTGGTAGGTGTCTTCGAAGCAATGCTCGTGTATCGTGGGACTACCGACTTACCAATGCAGTTGTTAGGAAACGAGTACTAGGTAAGGATGGCAGATCAATAGATGAAGTGGTGAAACTTCATCAGTTGAGGTGGTTGGGACATGTGTTACGTATGCCTAACCACCGACTGCCTCGACGAGCTGTGTATTGTGGTGTAGGAGTAGGTTGGAAGAAATTAAGGGGCGGCCAAACCAAAACATGGCAGAAATCCATGAAGTTACTGACAAGTGAACTGACTCATGTTGGTAAATGTAGGCTATCTGGTTGAGGTCCGCGAGACGAAAGTCACCAATGGTTAGAGACCTTGAACGACATGGCTCAGAATCGTTTGCAATGACACAGGTGCATCCACTCTTTATGTTTTCTGAAATTCTAATCCCCTGGATTCCTCATCACCTTTCTCTTTCCAAAGTTATCTCACTGAATTATAATTCTTGAATAATATCTTTGAGCCTGAATATTCTCCATAATCGCTAATACTCCCACTATGAGATTTGAACTGACAATAGCATCTCTGTGCTAATGCGGTATGTTAATCTGAACTGATGTACGTATGTACAAAGTTCTCCGTTGTAACTAACTAACTGACTAACCCACTGTCATCAAACATATCACAAACTGAATCAGTAAGTATTGGTATGCTCGAGATAGATTATCTAAAAGTAACCTTAAAAAAATTATCTAACTTCGAATGATTAGAAATTGTCACAATCTTAGTTTCTTAGTAAATTTATTCTGTTTTATGATAAGACATTGACGATAACCATCAAGAAGTTGATTATTCCATGAAACTTATTATTCACATTTGTTTCCATTACAACACAACACATTGTCCACAAATTATGATCGAGACATAATATTCAATACTACTGATTTTTAATCAAAGCAAGGCGTAAACTGCTGTAGGTTTTTTTCATTCAATGACCAACATTTATTTTTACATCATGAGATAGTAAGTTATGTACATACTTATAGGCTTCATATAAATATACAATTCAGTCAGGTGATGATGATGATAGTACAATAGTCACCTTAACAAAATATTTATTATAAACAATTGATCATAGACACAAACAAATTGATTGTTTTGCCTATTAGAATAAACACACTGATTATTCACACAATCGAAGACCAGTGAATTTGATCTCCTTCGTCTTGTTTTTTTTTTTTAAATATTATCGATTTAATAGTTCAGGTTATTGAATCATAGAATATCTGGGAATATCATCACTGAATAGTGGCCTAAAGGGATAGACATCAAGTTCTAGGGTGCTAGCTAAGGAAGTCTGTTGCCCTATTTTAGAATAAGGTTCGGACATTAAAAGCTCCAACATGTAGTTTGTATCCTATAGTTTCAAGAGACCAGGAATTATGTTTCGTTTGCATCGGCGGCGCAAGGTACTAAATGAAGAAGAGTTTGTCGTGGAGATAAGAGAGATATTAGGAGGTGTAGAAAGGACTTGTTTGTAACTTATTCAGTCTCATGTGTTGTTATGTGCATGAGGGTGGATATCACTTCCTGGCTGCCTACACCGTGGAAGGGTATTTCTTGAGGAACCTGACTTCGACATTGGATTAGTGTTGGTCTTGGCGACCTGGAAGCGTGACCGCAGAGCCCAAAGGATAACTGTCATATATGGCCTTGTCATAGGATGTCTTGAAAGCGGTAGCTTACCACCGGAGATAAAAATCCGTAGTGCAAGGTGAAATGTGACATTATTAGGGTCGACCTTTGCTAACCCCTTCCTTGCTTGTGAGAAGGCAGCATCTCTGCAGATGCTGACTGTTCAGTTGAAATACCTCACTGCTGTCACACGGCTCTATGGTCAGCTGTACGACCTCACCTTCAAACCTCAAGTTGCTTCTAGTCTTACCATTCTCCAATCCACTTAAAGGAACATATATTCCAGCCAATATAAGTCAACACGTCAAGATAGCAGCTACATTTACGTTCAAGATGTTTCTAGCATAAAGTATGTGTGTCTTTTTGATTTCCTATCATAAATAATTATTTGTCTTGGTTGTTAGAATTTGAAGTGAATCTATGAATTACTCTGTAAATATCTTCGTTCTCGATTCGCTAAAATTTCTAAAGCATGAAATCTAATTATTTGAAATTCAAATCAATATTTATTAAGTCCATTTCACTTCCAGTACCTTTACTACCTCTTCTACTATTGGATTTGAATTGACAATTACATCTCTGTGCTAATGTGGTATGGCAACATGAACTGATGTACTTACGTACGAAGTTCTACGTTGCATCTGACTGACTGACTGACTTTATCAAGAAAATATCTACACATTTTTGTGACAATTTAATTGGAAATCTAGGTTTAATTTGAGAGTTATAAAAATCAACTAGCATTATTATTCTTATTATTACTATTATGCTATTCAAGAACTGTAGAGCTTCACTTTCGACATGTAACTAAACGATTTGTGTTGAAATAAATGGTTATGATAATTTCTCGTGTTCATATGATATACTAATGAGTAGTATAGAATAGTTTAATTAAAATTTTATCAACCATTTTAAAAATTTCGTTATGAAATCCTAAATAAATAGTTTTCATTTACAAACTCTAAACAATTTTCAGAAATTCATGGTTTGTTTTCATCATGGATTGAGCTCAGTTGAGATACCATATTAAACTAGAGTGTCTTATCATCTCGAATAAACACTGCGAAGTTTGACCTCATTTTGAATTTAGAAAACAAGTGATCATGCGTTTTCCCTAACCGGAAACACAACTTGAATGATAATTTGTGACCACAAGCTTGTAAATATCAACAATAATTCTTTATTGTCTAAACAGACAACCAATTAAAATTCTTCTTTTATCAGTTATTTTAATTTAGAAAAGATATGTATATAAGGTTTTGTACTTCATTTTTAACCATTCAATCGCGTGGACATGGCTTAAAATCGTATACAATAGCGCAGATGCACGCATTCTTTGCTTCCTCTCAAATTCTAATCTCAATTCCTTCTGACTGTCTCCTTTCTGTTTTTAAGTTTATTTCGTTGGATTATACTCCTGACATCATATCTTCGAACCCTAATCTTTTCAATTACCGTTAAAACTGCTACAACCTGCACTAAAATGGGATTTGGATTAATGATTCGATCCCTCTTTGCTCATGTGGTATGGCAACTGGAACTGATGTACGTACATACGAAGTTCTACGTTGTTACTGACTGACTAACTAACTATACGTTAACAATAGTCTATAGAATTCGTTTGACTAAAACAATTTTGGGTCCATGAGACGCTAGTAACCGATGGTTAGAGACCCTGAATGACACGGCTCAAAATTGTGCTCAATGGCGCAGGTGCATTCATTCTTTGTGTTCTCTCAAATCCCAACCTTCTAAATTCCTCATCAGCTTTATCTTATCAGACGCTATATAGTAACGATTGTCTGGACGAGCTAATCACGAACATTAAGAACACGCAGTAAATCGACACACTACAGATGTAGGTTGCCTGGTTGGGGTCCGTGAGACGAAAGTCACTGATGTTTAGAGACCTTGAACGACATGGCTCAGAGTCGTTTTACAATGGCGCAGGTGAATCCACTCTTTGTGTTCCCTGAAATTCTAACCTTCGGAGTTCCTCATCACCTACATCTTTTTATTTTTTTAATTTATTTCACTAGATTCTACTTCTTGAATAATTTGCTCGAACCCTAATCTCTCCGATTACTGCCTATACTTCTACTATCTCTACCACTATCGGATTGAATCGACAATTGCGTCTTTGCGCTAATGCAGTATGACAACTTGAACTGATGTACGTACGTTCGAAGTTCTACATTATAACTGATTGACTGACTGACTGACTTCAATAAAACACATATTTTGCGGTAATTTTAAATTTTTCCTTTTTTTTCATTATGATTCAGCAACATCCAGTCATTTCACAACCAATGATCAATATCCTACAAAAATACCTTCTACTCGTAATAATTGTTCTCCTGAATTGACTACAACGAATCATTCTTTTCGTATGTCATCATCCTCATCGTCGTCATCATCATCATCAGAAACAACTCCTGTTCCTTCACCAACATCTTCATATAACAAACAATCGCGTAAAGAACTGACAGCTGATCAATGCTTGTTGCCACATAAACAAATATTTCATCATGTTAACAATGCTGTCAAGTAAATATGATGTGATTTTAAAAAGTTTATCTACATTCTTTTGTTCATATCAATCTATAAAGTTGTTGTTATTGTTCATGATAAATCTTTCTCTTTGAGAGATGGTGGATGATTGATTGATTGTTGGTGGAGTTTCATTCTCTGAACTGAATGTTTTGAATGTGGCGCTTTTTATTGTTCTTCCACTGAACAACATCATCAGCACAAACGCCAGATAGATCGAAGACGGATACCAACAATATAAAAGTGCATACAAGTTTACGGTCAATAAGAACTAATCAGGATCGAGATCATTAGAACAAGCTACGAGTCATACTACGTGGAGAGATTCGAATACTTCAATTCTTCTATCTGATGTTTGCGCTAACGATGATGTTGTTCAGATGAACAATGAGAGCTTCACAACCAAATAATCCAGCTCAGAGAACGAAACTTCACCACAATCCTTTTCTTCGTTTGTTGGTGTATATACGTAGATTATCCCTGCAATTCGAGTTGCAAGTGAGTTGGAGAGGTTAGATAACATGGCTTAGAATCGATCGTAATAACATAGATGCATTTATTCGTTGTGTACCCTTAGATTTTAGTTCTTGAAGCAAGTCGTTTCCTTAGGGTTGGCACTTCCCGATCATTTGACCCGAAAATCTAATCCATGAGGCAATGTAGCATGTTCATAGGGTGCAATCCAGTGGAAGCTGATTCCCAACAGTATGTCCATTAGCTAATCATTCTATCAAGATCCTAGAGTTTATGTGACCATTGGTTTAGAATCAGAGTTCCCTAACTCCCTTAGATTGACCCTCAGAATCCTCCAACCTTGTCAAAGCGCCGAACACTCACTTTTCGTCCTCTCCATTTCATAAATAATACCTTCCCCACAAGAAGGTAGGTAGTAGGTTTTCCTTGATGGTGATTTTATACGTATGGCTATATGAGAGCATTTCGAGAGGGCTAGTGAGTTGTCCCCACTCTCAGCTCTATCAGGTCATTCTCGGGCTAAATAAGGACAACTGATTTGTTGTGTCTATTTTATCCACTTTACATATCACTGCTTAAAACTGACTGTAAATCAGTATATTGTTTCAGTCGCCTAAAAAGAAAATATCTGACCTACAATAAAAGTACATCGGTTTGTTTATTGTTTAACGTTTTGGAAACTCAATAACAATAAATAATCAATAATTTCAAAATTCAAAATTCTACAGTGGCATATTAAACTTAAGTTTTCACTACCTTTTGTCATTTACAACATAAAACCTTGCATATGAATGCTTTGCTTCATGTTGCAACAACACGTCATTAGCGCATAGCTTGGTGAAACTTTTAAATCAAGTCTCAGAGTAGTGGGATCACTAATGTAATCTGTAGTGATTAATTTTATTATTAGAATGAGGGCAAAAGGGAAATTTCGGGAATAAGAATCTGGAGGGAGAGGTATGATAAGAAGTAAATGCATTAGTGTCACTATAATTGATTCTGAGCCGTGTTACTCAAAATCTCTAACTATTGGTTACAATAATCACACAGACCTCAACTAAACAATCTCAATCTCCCTACATGGGATCAACTCGATTGTCGTAATTCATTCCAAAAGCTTTCTTCCAGCCTACTCTTAGACTAGACAACATCACTTGTTGAGGTAGACAGTAGTTTGGTTTGTATTTGATTTATGATATCTCCATTTGCCAACAGTGGTCAAATAGATCTCATGACACTATATCTCATTACATTGTAAGGATATGTTAACATCTATTCCCCAGAGTTAATAAATTACTAAACTATTCTAGAGATCTTACTCGAAATCATATTCTCAATAAGATTCTTTTTACTAAGAATTTAATGTTTTTAGACATCACGCTGCCTTTTACTAAATTGGTGCTTATTATACTTAGTTACATCTTCATGCATAGTGTTTAAGATTGTACAGTCTGAAGCTTTTTTTTCGTTTCTCAAGTGTTCTGACTTGTATAATCCGGCTAAAAAATGTTACATCAGGGAATAATACCCAATCTCTTTGTGTAAATTTCTGTGAAGATTGTAATAGTTGATAAACATCAATGTAAGCTAACTGATCATTACTACTACACTACCTTCAAAACTATCGCTTTGTACATACATACAAGTTTATTAAATTGACTTTAGGCCATTTATAATCAAACTCTGCCAGGAGATCCTCTGGGGCTACTGTCGGTCACAGTCCACAGGATAAAGAAAGGTTATGCATAGGGTTAGCGACCCAATATCCCTTAGAAAACAAATCACTAACCATTTTCCCAATTGGACACGTTCCCTTCCTGTAACGTTCTTTTTCTATTTTTTCTTTTGTTGTTTCTATAAATCAGACCTAATTGTCGTATATGTCATCTTCCAACAATATCTGATACAAATCCGAATCAATTTACTTCACCTGTTACATCATCACGATGTGCTTCATGTAAAATGGCAAGTGTTCCTGATTTATTATTTTCTTCATCTGACTTCCCTGCAGAGCTATTGATTATTGGTAATCCAGCTTTAATACAAGCACGGTTAGTTTGTTTGTTTGTTTTTTAATGCTACATCAGTACATTTTTAACGAATCATTTGATAGTGAATTGAATAATCCTTTGTATATAAATAAAGTCAGTCAGATGCAACGTAGAACTTCGTACGTAAGTACATCAGTTCATGTTGCCATACTACATCAGCACAGAGATATTTATGTTTTAATTACTTTCTGTTATCATTAAATCAAACATACACTAATAAGTTGTTAGTTGTTTCACCCGACCGTAGCTGCTACCTTGACATGGTGGTTGGGCTGGCCTATCGTGATGACCCAATCAAGCTATACTGGATGGAATATGTGTTTCTTTGGGTTCTATAATGCTAGGCAGGTTGATTGGAGAATCCTGACTGTAGAGAGGTGTGACAACAGTAAGGTGTTTCCCTTGGACAACCAGCATCTGCAGAGATTCTGCCTTCTCACAAGGAAGGAAGGCGTTAGAAAAGGTCGATCCTAAAATTGTCATATCTCACCTTACCTCATAGATTTCCGTCTCCGGCGGTAAGGCCTTTTAAACAAGAACGGAGCCGAAACTTTAAGAACTTCTCATAAAAACGCCTAGTATGACCGGCCTGAATCAGTGGTCTCTTGGGCTCTACGGTCACGCTCTCGTGTCTCTAAGACCAACGCTAACACGGTTTCCTTTTCATGTTCCTCAGGCAACAGCCCTCCATAAAGTGAGCAGCCGGGAAGTGACACTCGCCCTCACGCTCGTAAAGAGCACACGAGATCGAATTGGTCACAATTCACGAAATTTTACGTTGTAACTGACTGACTGTTAGTCGTTTCTATGATAACCTCAAAAGACAGCAAAAAAAACTATCACACTTAAAAAACCACTCAACTGAGTGACAACAATTGCTCCAAATCTTCATTATCTCTGTTTCCAGTGTACCTGTATCAAATACATGAGGTATAAACTAACATTCTATCATCTTGTTTGATGGATATATGCTCACTGACTCAAGCCTCTTAAAGATAATCAAGGCAAAATATAACGTATCAAAGCCGATAGAATCTTATTCTATATGAAGCAAATATTATTTCCACACAGAATGTGTCCAATCCAGTCTGTCAGTCAGTCAGTTACAACGTAGTGAGAAGACTGAGGCAGGCGCGGAAGATTGTATTATGCAAATTTACACTATGAGTCAATTAAAAACGAAAACATTACATTGAACACTCTATTCGCACACCATCTTTGAGTCGTGACTTCCAAGGCTCCATACTTCTTCCATTCCTGTTGTTGCTTCCTTTCCTTCCTCTGTTGGTACTCCATTTACTTCATGATTTTGCTCCATTTGCTTTCCGTTTTCCTCTTCTGACCGTGAGACTTCTTCTTTCACGTCCCTTCGTATACTACTTATATCGTTCGTATAAGTAGCACACACCACAGTAGAACTTCGTACGTATGAACGTCAGTTCAAGTTACCATACCACATTAGCACAGGGATGCCATTGACAGTTCAAATCTCAAATTATTATAGGTAGCAAAAATATTAGTAGTGATCGGAGAATGTAGAGTTCGGGAAAATTATTCAAGAAATAGAATCTAGTGAATCAAACTTAAAAAGAAAAAGATAAAGATGATGAGGAATTCAGAAGGTTGGGATTTGAGAGAACACAATCAATGAATGCACCTGTACCTTTGCAAACGGTTTTGGGCCATGCCATTCGTGATCTCTAACCATCCGTGATTTTCGTCTCGCTGACACCAACCAGATAGTCCGGTTGTCAGTGACTTCATGAATTTGTGCCATCTTCTGGTCTGGCATCCCTTACATTTCTTTCAACCTGCTCCGACACCTCAAATCATCACTCGTCCAGGCAGTCAGTGGTTTGGCATACGTAACACATATCCCAACCACCTCAACTGGTGATGTTTCAATACTTCACCTATTGACTTTCCATTCCTACCTAGTACTCGATTCCTAACTACAGCATTGCTTAATCGGTTGTCCCAGAATACACGAACAGTGCTTCGAAGACATCAACAATCGAATACCAATAACGTGCTTATATCTTCTACTCTTACCGGCCATGTTTGGCATCCATATTATTAGCAAACGGATATCTGAAGTTGACAAAAGCCAATCGAGCCTTCCCAACCCGAGCTGAGATTTCGTTAGTCACCAGGCTATCAGCACTGATGAGACTTCTTAGATAAGCGAACCTATCACCTCGCTCAACTACTTCACTCCCTATCACTAGTTCAGGTGCCAATCGTGGTATGAATTTGTGCTAAGCAGTCAAATTGTCAGGTTCCCAGCTATTCATGGATAATAGGCTAATCAAAAATAACTGAATCTAGGTTAATTATGTACATTCTACAGATGCGTCTAAACGGTATGCACTACAGTTATAAACCTATTTGTTTTATGAATTGGGTAAATTCATTGCGAAATGTCAAACTAGAGTCAATTTGTAGATTAAATTACCTTCAATTTAATTATCTACTCAAAACCTCCTACTTTTACAGTGATTACCGCATAGTCATTAGTGGGCAGTTTTGGGTAACTAAGTCCTATAGTCCTAGTAATGATTAGACTTTAGCCATGTCCTATGTGAGAGGTATACCCCAGAGATCGGATCGGATAGGATCACGATATGATTGGAGTTAAAATGTAAACCATTAGATCTTGATTGGAATAATTCAGGGTTAGCCTGTGAGATAAGAATTCGTGAGTTCAATCTGCGACAGAGTCAGGGATGCTCACTTGTGATTAGTCTCATATTACGTTGAAACAGTTGTTCACAACTCCCTGATTCTCAATGATTGTCTAAGGTTGGTCCATTATGTCAACTATGAAACTTGAAAATTTCCACAAATACTTTGCACTACTAATAATAGTAGTATGCTTTCTATTGGCCAAAAGTAAGAAAAACTGTATTCGGCCAAGTTCATCTAGATTAGAAAGGAAATAATAACCTGCCTCACTAAATTACAAGTAGACTTCAGATGTAAATATATGAATTATTCATTTTAGATTCAGCGTTACTAAGGTATTCAACTCACTGTAATTTATCTGAAAATGTTATTCAGCTCAACTCCAAACGTGTGTTAATGAATGTGCACTCATTTGAAGCTTCATGCTCAAGCTTCATAGTCATAAACTACTTATCTCTATGCTTCCTAACTTTTATTGATTCAACAATTATCTTCGCCAACTATGTGCACTTAAACACCTCCATAAATTTTTTACATCTAATCTCAAATCTAGAGAATTTCAAGAATTACTTTGTATATTTTTCTCTTTCTCATCCTATGATCTTTGAAAAAAAATATGACGTGATTATATCACATCTTCAGAGATGAAAACTGATATTTTTCCGACAAGATTGTCAGTCAGTCAGTTGCAACGTAGAACTTCGTACGTATGTACATAAGTTCATGTAGCCATACCACATTAGCACATAGAGAGACGCAAATGTCAAATCAAATCCCATAATGATAAAGATAGTAGAGGTATTAATGGTAATAAAGAAGACTACGGTTTGAAGATATTATTGAAGAAGTATAATTCAGTGAGATAAGGTTAGAAAGACAAAGGTAGAGGTACTGACGAATTTAGAAGATTGGGATTTGAGAGAACACAACGAATGGATATACTTGCGCCATTGCAAACAATTTCGAGCCATGTCATTCAAGGTCTCTAACCATTGGTGACTTTCGTCTAGCGGACCTCAACCAGGTAGTCTGCATCTACCACCCCTAGCTTTCTTCCAACCTACTCCTACACTGCAAAACGTAGCTCGTCGAGGCAGTTGGTGGTTAAGCATTCGTAACACATGTCTCAACCACCTCAACTGATGATATTTCACCACTTCATCTATTGATCTGCCATCCTTACCTAGTACTCGTTTCCTAACGACAGCATTGCTTACTCGCGATTGTCCCACAATATACGAGCAATGCTTCTAAGGCATCTACTCGTAACACCACACGAAAACTTATCCCCACAAGATTAATCGTAAACCATTGCAAATAAATGTAAAAAGCAGTGGACTTACTGTTTGACAAACATGTCTATCCGTATACTTTTGATTACTAACCAAATTATATCATTTTATGACGTGTATTTCGTATATTTTTCCCAGAAAGTTCAATATTCTTATTATTATTATTATTATTATTATTATTATTATTATTATTGTTATTGCTACTTTAGAGTTTGTCGAACAAAGAAAGATACTAAAGGTGAAGTAGCAGCAAGTGAATTAAGTGAGGTTAGTCTTATCTTCTTCTTTTTTTTAATTATGTTTTCAACTTATTTCACCCGTTTGTTTTTTTTTTCTATTTTCCCCCCACTTTAGATTCTGCCGTTCATCGATTATGAATTACATTATCGTTTGATGCAGAAATTACGGGTAAATGCATGTGTGTTCACATTTACTGAATAATTATTATTCTTTTTTTTCTCTAAAAAAAATAGTTACGTAGTATGAATGGTTTATTTGGATTGAGATATCGTATAGCTATTGGAGAATATATGATTGCTGCTATTGCTGTAAGTTTTAATGAAGATTATATGTATATATATATATTTGTATATTTTTTTTAAATCATGAGTTGATGAATATTACGTCACCATTAGAAATCTGGATTTACTAGACAGTCGTTTCGTACCGGTATGGAACTCATCAGCAGCGTGCACCGACAACCCCACCCCCACGAAAATCGAACTCAGGACGTTTGGTCTTGCGTGCGAACACCTAACCTCTGAATCACTGAGCCAGTATCTAACGATGGTTTTCTGGTTAGGGTCTCTAAACCTCTTGCCCAACCTTCCTCCTTAACTCGGGCTTGGGACCGGTAGTAACTCCAGAAGGGTTCCAGATAGATGGTATAAAACTGTTAAGTGTCGCACTGCATTATAAGTTTTTTTATCATATCCTAACAACTCCGAGTCATCTCCTCTACGAAATACTACGGGATTAATATGTCAACTTCTTTGAACATTTTGTTCAGTTTCGTATTTAAAGAATCGATCAAGATGACTGAATAAGAATGTCCATTGACCTACCTGTAGTTTGAATTGTGTAGATTTAAGTTAGTAGTTGACAAGTGATATGCTTGTCATTTGATATGCTAGAAACTATTACAAGTTCACCTTACTCGATAAACGGAGCGCTAATCAGTCATACAGTGACATTATAGGCTACTCTAATCCGAGCGTCTCGAGGCCCCGCTAAGTAAAGGAAGAAGTCTTGATATGGCCTAGAAAGTGTATTCTACATGCACCTAGAAATATGAGGTTGCTAAGCACACAAATC